CCGGGGAGGGGGGGGGGCGGCTCTGAGGGGACGGAAAGGGCGGGAAGAGCCAGGGGAGCCCAGAGCCCCGTCCCTCACCGCGGGAGCAGCCGGTGGCGCAAAATCCTGCCTTTGGTGGTGGAAAGTGCTGGTTTTGGTGGTGGAAAATGCCGTTTTCCCGTGAAACCTGCCCAAAATGAGGTGTTTCCCGCTGAGGGGCGGCGAATCCCCTCAGAGCGGCGCTGAGGGGGCGCGCGGGACGCCAGGGGGCGCTGCGCGTTGGGCCGGGTTGGGGAGAAACGGGGGGGTATTTATGGTCTGTTGAGCCCCCCTATAAATAAAGAGGGGGGACACTGCGAACACAAAGGGGGGAGGATGGAGACCCCAAAGGAGGGACCCCAAAAATCTAGGGGGGAAAAAAATACACCCCAAAAACGGGGCGAGGTCGAGCCCCTCATTACTGGGGGGGGGCCCCCACTGAGGGGGTGTCGAGCCCCAAAATCGGGGAGCAGCCCCCCCTGCGAGCCGAGGGGGTCCCTGCCAAGGGGGGGTTCACCCCTGCCGGGGGGCGCGCAGCCCCCCGAGAGGGGAGGGTGCTGTAACTGCTTTGCAATGTATTTATGGGGGGGGTATTTATGGGGGGGAGCTGGTGAGCGCGGTTCCCGCCAACCGGCTCTGCTTCGAATGCGGCCAGCGCGGCGTCACCTACGTGGACATCAGCGTGGGCAGCCTCGTGTGCACCGGCTGCTCGGGGGCGCTGTGAGCGGGGCGGGGCCAAGGGGGTGAGGGCGGGGCCGGGGCGGGGGCGTGGCTAATTTACACCTGAGCGCGGTGGGCGGGGCTCACCGGGTCAAGCTGTCATTCATTTCTGCTCCCTTTGGGGGCGGGGCTCTGCAGCAGGGGGCGTGGCCGCGGCACGTGGCTTCCCATGCTGGGGTTGTTTTTTGAGAGAAAAAAGCTGAATTTTGGGTGTTTACGGGCGCAGGGGGGGGCGCTGACCCCCCGAATCCCCACGCAGGCGGGGACTGAACCCCCCCCACCGCGTCAAGTCCATCTCCATGACGACGTTCAGCGAGGCCGAGGTGCTGTTCCTGCAGGCGCACGGCAATGAGGTAAGGCGGCGGCCGTGGGGGTCCTGCCCTCTCCGTCCCACCCTGCCCCCATCCCCACGGCCCCTCCCGACCCCCCTCAGGCCTGCAGGAGGGTCTGGCTCGGCACCTTCGACCCCCGCACGTCGCCGCTGCCCGACTCCCGCGACCCCCAGAAGGTGAAGGAGTTCCTGCAGGAGAAATACGAGAAGAAGCGATGGTAGGAGAGGGGCTGGGGGCGCCTTTATGGGGGGGCAGCAGGGGTGAGCGCCCCTGAGCCCACGTTCTGCCCTCCCGTGGCAGGTACGTGGCGCCAGAACGAGCCAAAGAACAGGTGAAACCCCCCCAAAGCGCCGCGGCAGAGCCCGGGCCCCCCCAGCTCCTCCACGGGGACGCGGGGACGCTGGCACAGGTGGGCCCGGGCTCCTGGTGGGGGTCCCCAGGGGGATGGCACCCCCTGACCCTGCGGTGCCCCCCCAGCGCCCTGCCCAGCCGGCGCGGAAGGCCAGCACCGACCTGCTGGCCGACATCGGGGGGGACCCCTTCGCCAGCCCTGCCCCCGCGCCCGCCTTCCCCGGTGAGCCGGGGGCTCCGAGGGTGGGGAGGGGCCTGGGCGTGGAGCACGGGGGTCTCTGGGGGGGCCTGGTGACCCCCGAGTGACCCCCTCCCCAGCCCCAGCCCCAGCCCGGTCTGCCTTCCCCAGTTTCGATGCCTTCGGAGGCAGCGCTGCAGCAGCCGCGTTTGGGGGAGCCGTGCCCCCCTTCCACATCCCCCCCACCACCACAGGTACCCTGAGACCCCCCCGGGACTCTCGGAGAGGGTCTGGGGTCCCTGCGGGGGGCCAGGGAGGGGTTTGGTGTCGTCCCCCCCCGCCCCAGATCTTTGGGACCCCTGGGATCGATGGGCGAGGGGGGGCTGGGGTCTCCCCATCCCTGTGGGGTGCTGGGGAGGGGGCTTGGGTAGCCGTGGGGACATTGGGGAAGGGTTTGGTGGCAGCCTGGAATTTCTGGGGAGGGGGGAGAGAGCCCCCCCATCTCATAGTGGGGGGTGGGGAAGGAGTTTTGGGTGGTCGAGCGTCACGGGGAGGTTTTGGGGGGCTCTGTCGCTCTCAGGAATTTTGGGAACCCCCCCCCCCATGGCTCCTCTCTTGCACCTGCAGGGGGGGTGGCTGCACAGGGCGTGGCCACCCCTGTCCCGCCCACAGGGGGAGGAGCTTCTGTCAGGTACCGCCCCTCCCCCCCACCTTTCCAGCCCTGCAGGACCCTCCCCTCCCCCCTCACAGCTGCCCCTCCCCCTGCAGCCTCTTCGGGACCCTCCGTGACCCCCCAGCGCTGCCCCACGGGGGTAAGTCGGGCTTCACCCCCCCATTTCCCACCCCTCAAAGTGAGGGGGGGGCGCAGGGGTGACACTTGTGCCCCCCCCTCACCCCCAGGCTACACCAACCCCTTCACGGCCCCCGTGGCCCCCAGACCCTCCACCAACCCCTTCGAGAGCAGCGGTGAGTGACCCCCGACCCCCAGGCTGGGGTCTGGACCCCCCCCATTCCCCATCCAGGGGGGGTTCTGGACCTCCCTGACCCCCCATTCCCCATCCAGGGTGGGTCTGGACCCCCCTGACCCCCATTCCCCATCCAGGGGGGTTCTGGACCCCCCTGACCCCCCGTTCCAACCAGGGTGGGTCTGGACACCCCCATTCCCCATCCAGGGGGGTTCTGGACCCCCCTGACCCCCCATTCCCCATCCAGGGGGGGTTCTGGACCCCCCGCTGACCCCCCCTTGTGCCCCCCCCAGACCGTCCCGGCCCCGACGGCGCCGTTCGGCATCAGGCCCCGGGCCACCAACCCCTTCCTATGACCGCAGCTGCTCCGGGGGGCCCTGGCAGTGCACGCCCCTCCGCCGGGACCAGGTGTTGTTTTTGTTCCGAGAGATTTATGGCGGTATTTAATATATCACCGGTAGAAAACGGCTCCGATCCCGCTGCGTCCCTCGCGCTGCCCCGCCGAAACCTCCGCGGGGCGGGCTCCCCTCACGGCCGTGCCCTCGGTAAAGATGGCGGCCAGCGGAGCCTCCCCTCACGGCCGTGCCCCCGGTAAAGATGGCGGCCACGGGGCGGGCTCCCCTCACGGCCGTGCCCTCGGTAAAGATGGCGGCCAGCGGGGCCTCCCCTCACGGCCGTGCCCCCGGTAAAGATGGCGGCCAGCGGAGCCTCCCCTCACGGCCGTGCCCCCGGTAAAGATGGCGGCCAGCGGAGCCTCCCCTCACGGCCGTGCCCTCGGTAAAGATGGCGGCCAGCGGAGCCTCCCCTCACGGCCGTGCCCTCGGTAAAGATGGCGGCCAGCGGAGCCTCCCCTCACGGCCGTGCCCCCGGTAAAGATGGCGGCCACGGGGCGGGCTCCCCTCACGGTTTTGCCCTCACGGCTGTGCCCCCGGTAAAGATGGCGGCCATGGACGAAGCCTCCCCTCACGGTTTTGCCCTCATTAAAGATGGCGCCTCCACAGCCCCTGCCCGCCCTTAACCAAGATGGCGGCCGGCGCCTCACCGCTGAGGGCACGGCCACGGCGGCCTGCCCTCAACAAAGATGGCGCCGAACCCGCGGGGGGGAGGGGCACTTAACGGAGAGGAATTAACGGGGGCACCGGAGGGGGGGAGGGGAATTAACGGGGCCACCGGGGGGGGACGGGCGCCCCCAGCCCCCCCCGCGGGGTCCGGGCCGGGCTCGGCTCCTGCAGCACCTGCTGGGGAAGGGCGGAGTTAGCGGCGGTGCTTTGGGGAGTGGGGGACACGGGGCAGCGCAGCACAGCTGGGGGGGGTGGGGGGGGGGCGTCCCCTTTTGGGCACAGAAAGGGCGAAAACGGACAAAAACAAAAAGCTGAGCGGTGGCAGCAGGAGAGGGGCAGGACTGAACCCCCCCGCCCCAGGGTTTGGTCCCGGCCGGTGAGCGGAGCGTCACAAAGGGACGGGGATGTACCAAGTGTGATTTTGAGGGGGACGTCCACACCCAGAAACATTATAATAACCGGCGTAACAACCCTACCGTAGTTAAATATAATAATTTTAATAATAATTAATTACAATAAATTTTGGTCATCCGCATCTTAGTGTTCTTTCACCATAATTAACTGTAATAATTAACTTATTATGCTCACAGTCCCGTATAACAACTCATTATAATACCTCATTATAATACCGGCAACTCGTTATAATAATAAAACTCATCATAATAACTCATCATAATTATAATACCAATAATTAAGGGGGGGCCACAAGGGGTTCAGCCCCTCCCCCTTCCCTGCCTCAGTTTCCCCAGCGTTAAGGCACAAGAAAAGAAGGGGGGCAAGGAAAGGTGCGAAGGCGGGACCCCCCCCCCGGGGGTTTGGGGGTTCCCCCGGGTTCCGGGGGGTTCCCCCAGGCCCTGGGGGGGCTCCCCATGGTTTTGGGGGGGCTCCCCGTGGTCCGGGGGGTCCCTCAGCAGCCGAAGAGCGCGCGGTGCGCGGCCACGAGCAGCGCCATGAGGAGGCCGTAGAAGAGGGCGAAGAGCAGCCCGGGGGGGCGGCGCCGGGGGTCGGGGTTTTGGGTCAGTTTTGGGATGTTTTTGGGTCAGTTTTGGGTCAGTTTGGGGTCAGTTTGGGGTCAGTTTTGGGGTGTTTTTGGGTCAGTTTGGGGTCAGTTTGGGGTCAGTTTCGGGGTGCACTCACGGCCCAGGGCCGCAGCCGCGCCGCCACGCGCCCCAGCAGCTCGGGGTCCCCCAGCTCGTCCGGCAGCCGCAGCTGCAGCAGCGCCTCCAGGCTCTGCGGGGTGGGGGGCACAGCGGGGACCCCCCCGGGCGGCTCAGGGGGGGAACGGACCCCGGAGCCCCCCAAAACACCCGGGGGGGGGAG